TGGCTCAGTGACTTAGGCTGCTGGCTAGTTGGCATCTGCTTCTAGTAGTCATGGGTTCGATCCCCAGTAGGAGACCGAGGGAATGCGCACCACTGACGAGACCCAATAGGGCGAAATTCGTCTGGTGCTTCTCCGGACTAGGCTGTGCTGTGTTGCTTGTGAACTAATGGGAGGAATACCTTAAAGCAGATTACTTCTAAAAATCCTGCTACTCGCGAGTAATATAAAACCGAATAGTTATTTGTTGTCAGTATCATCAGCAGAGCTATGCGATTCAAGTGATTTGCTGAGCGTTGGGTCCTCAAGCTCCAACTGATTAGCATCTGGTTCAAAAAAGAAGTTGATCAGCTCAGTTTGTTCTACGAGTATCAGAGCAGGAACCGTGTGGGGAGCAACCTGGCTTAGCGATAACGCACCACATAGCATTCACAACCATAAATAAATAGATAGTTTATTCTCGAATTTATCGAGGCAAACCAAATCAGTACATCTTACGTATACTATTACTTCCCGTCGCCTCCTGTTCTGTCTATTCGCGTACACTATATAGATGTTTTCCCTCGGAATTGGTGGCTGGTTCACACCATTTTAGTCCCCGTTGATGGGTGCTGTTCGAAACTCCCGACTATGTCTTAGCTTCGTTATCTGAGTACATGTTGCACCTACTAACTCTCTGAAGTGGAACGCTTCTGATGTAACTATGTTTTCCACTCTGTCGTGCTGAAAGACGAGTCTGCATGTAAGCGTTGTCTCTGTCACATCCCAAGTTACCTTTTCAGCTTCGGGAATAAGAAAACAGCTGTTTCGTTAAGCGTTAGGCATAAACCGAGGAGAAATTTACTCTCACCATGTGGGTCCCGCGATTTACACCACTTAGGCTGCGCCACCTGTTGTCCCAACTAGCAGAATGTACTGCTTCTTGAAGAAGGGCTATTCTTATGTGTTTCTGCCACTTTTTGACTGGGCAGTCAGATCCTGTGTCACAGAGGGCACTTTCTGCATGCCCGAAGTTGTTAAACCGCTTTGTGCTCTATCTCCGTCACGAGTTCTTGTGGCGCACCGTTAGAAAAACCTAATAAATCCCACTACTACTTACAAATAATCAGTAGTCGCCTTAGCGGCTTACATGCCACTTCGATTGGTGGCGGCTTGCAAAGGAAGTCGTTGCTCTGGGGGTCAGCCCTGTCCTCTGCACATTCATAACATGCAAGACAGTGGAGGATGAGCCACGCTATATCACAGTTAGATAGAAGTCATGGCGGTCCGCTGCCGTCGCCCATGGCTCAGTGACATAAGTCGTTGACTCGCATGACTATGGTCGTGGGTTTGAATCCGGCAGGATTCGGCGGGTGCGCGCTACTGCCGAGTCCCAATAGGACGAAACGGCCGTCTAGCGCTTTCCCGGATGTGTGGTGGCTGTCGGCCGGTGTCTAACTGCGACGAACTTACAGAAAAAGATAGTTAGGATTTGTTGCCACTGCTTGTTTCTTTTCCATGGCTTAAGTTTTGGCTGAGGATTGTTCCATTTGAGACCCTGAATCATAAAGCAGAAAGCGGTTAATCGTTTTCATATGAAGCTGCTTTGACTTATTCTTTCAGCTTTCCTCATGCATGGTTGGCGGCATCCGGCTCCGGATCTGCATGTCACTGCGGCTTCCATAGGACAGCCACAGGACGTTTGCCGGCCCGTAGCCTAAAGGTAACGACCTTGTCTTGTAATCTGACGGCGCGGGTTCGAGCCTGAATGGGGGCAGGGCGTCACTTCCCAGTATCCTTAGCCCACGTGCAACCGCTGGTGGTCGCACTGCAGCGAAGCATCCGTACTGGGTACCGGCGTAATGCTGATGTCTTTTTCTTTTTAACCGGACGCTTGCACCTACAGCGAGACCATTGGTGGTTTACACTGCACCACCTACAGCTCCATGCACGCCCCCATATCCAGTGTAAACACAAAGCAATAAGACCAAGAGGCATGTAGAAAGGAGCCACGATAGATTAACAGGGTAGGCCCACACTCATTCAACATGCATAGCAACGGCATTCTTGTCTATCTAAGTGCAAAATTATGCTTGCCAGACCTACATAAGTTATTGACTGTGCCGCACCCCGTTCCGCACTGGATTGAAGCACACTATGAGCCTAGCACAGCCACGAGGACCGTCTACCCCGTCCCGTCCTCCGGCAATGATTCACGGTTTCCTGGAGCGAGTACTCGTGCTGGGTGGTGTTAGACACGTACGGACATTGTCAACCTTCACACTGGGAAATCAAACAACCAACGTGAAAATCGAAACAAAATAAACAGGAAAGTTTGGCACGGAATATGCAGCAGAACAACGGAACTGAGCAATTCAAATAAACTGGTAGCTTTTTATCCAGATTATGATGACCTAGTTTAAAGGTAAGTCGGTGCAACCTGACTGTGTTGAAGGAGCATGTAACATCAACCTCAGGATGATGTAAAATCTCTTTTCACAAACGTCCCACTGCTGGAAACTGTTAATTTCATCTGCGAGTACATAACGGAAAGGAACCTGAACGTTGGCATTCCAGTACCTAATCTCAAGGAGTTAATTTTGCGGTGTACCTTTAATAGACAATCCTTGTTTGATGGAACCTATTACAGGCAGATCGATGGAGTGGCGATGGGGTCTCCCCTTGGACCTCTCCTTGCCGACATCTTTCTCGCTAAGCTTGAGCGTGGTTCCATCCAAGGGGTTATTGCCTCATTTGATTCTGATTGGAGGTAGATGGATGACACGTTCATCATCTGTGATTCTCGCATTGATGTCAACCATGTGCTCGACCAGTTCAACAGTGCACATCTTTCAATGAAGTTCACTAGTGAAATGGAAAATGAAGGTAAGCTGACTTTTCTGGACGTTTTGTTGAGGAGGCGCGAGCACGAATCACTTGAGCGTAGTGTCTCTACCGCAAAGGTACATGGGTTGGACAGTACACAGACTTTTCGAGCTTCGTCCCTCTGAAGTACAAACGCAACTTAGTGCGTTGCTTGAATTACCGGGCCACCAACATTTGTAGTCCGGAAACTGTCGAGGGTGAGAAGGACCGCATTGTGAAAACACATCTTCCGAATGGATACCCTGAGCCTTTCATCAAAAAGCACGCCATGACCCGTGAACGCGATAAGCCTATAGCAACGGTTCCGAAGAAGGATGTGTTTCTCACTGTTCCTTTTAAGGGAGATATCGCCTTCGATCTCCTGAACAGGAGGATTTCTAATGCCATAGTAAGGACCTACCCGGCCGCCCACCCGCACGTAGTTGCGGAGACCGCTCCCATCATAGCTCAACCTCTTAAAGACAGGCTGCCAGTGTCGCCCGAATCGTACATTATTTACCAGTTTACTTGCACCTGTGGTTCCAATTAGCTCGGGCATACGACCAGGCGTCTGTCGGTACGGATGGCTGAGCATTGTCCAGAGTCACTGCGGAGAGGCACGCTCAGAAGTATCAACAACACAATTATGGAACATCTGATTCTAAGTGGGCATCACGTTTTGACAAAAGATGCTTTCAAAGTCTATTATGCCGTACCGAGGCGATACCCGAAAGGGTTAAGGAAACGCCTCCTGCAGACAGCTGAAGCCATCGCGATCCGGCTAACCCAACCAGAGCTATGCAAGCATAGGTTGCTTGTGCAACCCTTGACTTTGCCATGGCCCTGATGATAACTCTCCCCGGGAGTATTACGGATAACCGGGTGCTATTTATTTATGTAATTACCTATTTTTATATTGTTAGTATTTTTTCCTCTTCTGCTTACACAAGTTATTTTGCTGTCGGTTAGCCTTATCACGATGTCACCTGCTTAAATTGATTTGAGTATCCAACAAACATGCTACATCTGTCCAAACCGTCCCATCCGTCCTCATTGTTGCTTTCACCAGTTTACTGTTGCAGTTAGCATACCTGTAGCTGTAATTGCCTGATGTGAACTATCGAAAAGTGATCTCTTTGCAACGCTGTATGAAGCAGATACATCTAGAGTAGAAAAAGCTTCACTTTGTGTTCGGCCCTACTAAACTTTATGACCTACCAGTGTTGAGTAGCCTGGGATCACCAGAGGCCCGTGGCTGTCAGATCTCAATAATTGATTGGGAGTTTATCCGTAACAGCTTTCAAAGTAGCTAATCTTCCACATGTCTGAAAACTCACTAGACGGCTGTTTCATCCTATCGGGACTCGTCAATAGTGCGCGTTTATCGGCTTCATCAGAATCCGGACCCGTGGCCACCAGCGGATAGGACCATAGCTATCAGTTTATGCCCCGGGCCAAGGGGGACAGCAGCGGTCCTTTATGATTTACAAACTGTATGCAATAAAGTGCGTCTTGTTCTCCACTGCCATGCAGGCTATGAACGTTTGCAGAGGGCAGTGTTGGCCCCAAGGGACGCGAATTGCGCTGATAGTAGCTATGTACGACAAGAGATTTAAAAAGTGTTCAGGCGGATATTATGAACTACTTTTGAATATACACACTGTAGTAGCTATCTGCATCATTTTCCTCAAGTGTAAGAATTATCTATGCAACTGTGTTTGACCGACCAGCAATAGCACTAGTACTAGCTGAAATCAACTTACTATGCCTAGCAGTCTTTTTTGCCGAATTGTGCGGGCTTTTCATTGTCATTGGTGTAGGTCATTTGCTCATATGTTAACATTTGGCACCTAAACCGTACAGTTTATGCCACCAACCGATGGAAATAAATTAGTTGCACCATAAATCTCCTACTCATAGGTAGATGAAATAAATGCTTGAATTTTTCAACTCATTAGTTGATTTAGGACAGTAGACGTATAGGTTTACAAACAGGTAAACGGAGACAGGCAGGTAGATGATCGACTGACTGACTAGAAAACAAAGTCAGCTGACTGAGTGCCTGAGCATATTTCATGTACCAATACTGTTCAAATGTATCAATTCGCATGGCTCATGGCTTCACTGTGACGTTTCACATATTCTCTTATTTCCACTTTTCAGGGTGTTTTGGTGACCTATCTGAAGCCGCACCCCGGGGACAGTGAATGGCAGAGTCATCTACGCTTGTTAAATTCGACCAGACCTTTGGACGTAAGTGAAAACCGCTCGTCGTTGTTTACTTTATCCCAGCAAATGTTCTCGTTCCACTTACACAATGAATGCAGGGAAATTTATCTCGCACTGAGTCAAACACCACCGTTTTATTCGAAATCGCATGTAAAACCACAGCATTAAGCTAGACTAGGGGTTCCCAACCTGGGGGTAATTACCCCAGAGGGGTAAAGTGGAATTTTGCGGTGGGTAAATATTAGTACGCAGATTGGATCAGCAATCGGTCGCTAAACAAGTTTAATAACAAAATCATCCGTATCATAACATGACACTAACTACCTATGCACTTTGAATTAGCCATCAGTGCCCAGTCATTAGTCACTGCAACCAGATGACGCCTAGATCGGCTCCCGTAGCTATCGTCAGGTAGTCGTTTGCCGGGTCGAATTATGGAGTCGATTGTAAACTATAGTAGTTGAGCGTTGGTCAGACGACCAGGAAAGGTAACGCGCGATTGTTTCCTGGTTAGAAGGGTCAAAACGGGCGATTAGTGTTCACCACGTCTCGATACAGAGTGGTGTTATCAAGTAATCATACAGTGGAGGAATGCAAAACGTGAGAAGGCACTGAGATCTGTTCATGTTTGATCATGCATCACACACGAAAGGGTCATATGATGCCTTGAATAGAGATAACATCAAGCATTTGAAAGTGTGCAAAAAAGCAGAATCAGCGGATTGGACGCCAGTGACCATTGGGTCTTGGGTTGATCACATTTATTTTGACAAGAAACCATAGCATTTACAACAAGTTATAGATGTGAAAGTAGATTTTCGACAATGGTTTCAATGAAAACAAAGGCAAGGAGTCGAATGAACCGGGAGCACGACTTCCGATGTGCACTAGCAGAAACTGAACCAAATCTACTTGACACTGTTAGCACTAAGCAATATCAACCGTCCCATTGATGTATGTCGCCTCTTGATTAGATACAATGTTGTACCAAACAACTGTTTTCTTTCTTTTATTGATCGAGAGTTATTCCAAATAGCTATCAGTTCCCGTACTTAAAAGCAAACAGAGCCAATTATTCCCTAGTTAGCGTTTGAAACGGAAATTGGGGGCCGGTTGAGTATAGCAAACCTCATTTGTGAGAGCCTCAACAATGTTAAGAATCGTCGGTGTACAGCAACATGCGTTCAGGATAAGTGTGATATCGCTTTCTAAAAGCACCATCAAAGTCGCGTTCAGGATATCGGCAAGAATCCTTTGAACGCGGTACTTAAAGAAAGAAACTCATGGATTTTTCTCGCACTACAATGGGGTCTCGTTTACTTGCATGATCGAAAGTAACTACATATGGTATTCATTTGCCGTAATGTAAAGAAAAATTGCAGTGGTTGCTAGCTAACTGCCGTTAGCAAGTTTGGGAGTAACTGGTTAAAGTGAACCCGCTTTGGGGGTAGCGGCCTCAAAAAGATTGGGAACCAGTATACTAGACCGATTTGTCTGTTACTGTAGATGGGAAAAGTCGCAGGACGCTTGCGTTTACAGAGAGACCCGAGTGTGGTTTACATTGAACCGCCCACAGCTCAAGACACACGAGTCAGTTGCAATATAAAATCGAAAGATACATGCGGATGCTGATCGCGATTTAGTTGGACCCAAGCCATATTCGCTCAACACACACGCAATATTGATGCTGAATTTGGAGATACTTCAGTGCCCCACATACACAGCGCGGTGGTTAGGTCTTGTCCCAGTTCCAGTATAGAATCGCCACAGATAAGTGCACACTCAGTCTCTCGAAAAATGTAGCTCAGTCCTCTGGACGCGGTAGTAGAACTGACGACATCCGATGTAGACAGTTGTGTGGTTTATCGGACCAGGATACATGTCAAACACACTACAAATCAGAAAAGATGGAGCGTTGATGCTTTTGAGGCATATCGTTGCACGAATTAGTCAGATATCCGGGAAGGCTTTGGACCACTGTTTCGTATTGAGATTCATCAATCGTACATAATCCCCGGAGCTTTCTGGATCCGAATCTAAAGCTTTACGTCTGCAAGCAGTAGGCTACGACGGCCACACGGCATAACGGATTGCTACGAACAGTGATAGGACGTTGCTCGCTCTCATCTGTAGTAATTGTCGGTAGTGCGTGAAGGGCAGGGTTGGGCTTCACTGGTAGTTGCAAGGAAAGTTGCATCGTCGTCTAGCTGCACCCACTCATCAACCTACCTATGTGGCCGCAGTTGTAAGAACCTCAGATGCAAGCGTAATTGCTTGTCGCTTCGAACATAGCTTATATTAAGTGCATCAGTTATGACCAAGGAAACCTTCACTCATTTTCGTATTCCTTGTTAAAGGTTGCATGCGCGGATTTCTTTCCCTGCCCAGTGATTGTGTGGTGTGCGTTTCTTATCCGTCCAATCATCGTGCGCATACAACTGCAGTTCCAAAGTGTTCCTTTCTTTTGGGAGGGGGGGGGAGGTGGAAGTTGTTACGCCTTGCTTTTACCTGGTTGCCGCTTCGCGTTCCGGCACCACCATACAACTAACAGCTGGCACAGTAGCGTCTGCCTTTATCCAACCACACAATGACTACTTCCACTGGGCCGATTGGGCTTAGGGACACACGACGGCATGCACGGCAGCAGCTTGTTGGTCATTAATGAAAGAGAAGCTTAACTCGCTGTGTACTCGGTTCGTTCCCCTGAAGTATTCAAAAGTCGGACCCGTCAAACCGCGCTGGTTTATTAAGGAATATAAACAGTTAGACCGACGGCATCGCAAAATTTGGGGATAGATATATCAGCTCGGATTGTGATGAAGATTACACGGTGTACAACAAACAGCGAAACTTATGTAACGCCATAAATATCATGAAACGCCGGCACTTCAAAGAGGAGCTAGCATCCTCGGCCACAACTGCACCTAAAGAAATACTTACGTACTTGGAAACTCAACTGAAACCTTTGGGCGACCTACCGGTCTTAGAGAGCTTGGACAGACAAACGCTCATTTTAAGCGTAGAGGGCGCGGACGTCTTGGCTTCGCACCTCCTCACCGTATTTTCCAGTAAAGGGGCGGTTGTTCCTGTACAGACACAGGTTGTGCCACACTTGCTCGACAGCGTACAGTGTAATGCAGTCGAAGTATATCTGCTGCCCGTCAACCTCGTGGGTGCAAAGGCATCGGACCAGACAGACTTCACCCACTAATACACAAGCCGTATTGATTATGATCTCACCAGCCGTGACCAATCCATTCAATAAATCGTTCTCTGAAGAATCGGTCTCCAACGACTGGAAATCCTCGATAGTGAGAGCGTCCCAAGGGTGGTGATCCGAGTAAAGTAGAGAAGGATGGACTGCTCTGTTTGACTTCGATATTATCCAAAATTCTCAAGAAGGTTATGAAAAAGCGTATGCTGTCGTTTTTCGAATTGGTGGACATATTAACGTTAGCGCAACATGGCTTTACGAGAGGGCGATCCTGCATCACCAACTTGATGTACGCAAACCACCAGTGGGTACTTGCTCTCAACAAACGGAAGGATGTTCACGTGGTGTACATCGACTTTCGTAAGGCGTTTGACAGAGTGAACCACGAGGTACTCCTTCGTAAACTGAGGACATGCGGAATCGGTGACACGCTACTTCAGCAGTTACACGAGTATATGGTGGGACGAAAGTTTAGAGTACAGGTCAGTGACTACCTCACAGACTGTTTCCCATCGACCAGTGGCGTGCCTCAAGAAACTATAATTGGGCCAGTATTATTTCTTATTCATATCCACGATCTTCAGCAGCAGCTCCAGACACCATGTGCCCCGTTTGCAGATGATTTGAAAATCTGGAGGACAACTGAGAACCAGGGTGACTGCGTTGGCCTTCAGCATGATTTAGAGCGACTGTCAACGTGGTCCGCTGAAATGCAACTCACTCTTAACTCAAGTAAGTCGGTGTTCATCAGTATCACCAGACGTCCAGGCACTCAATCATAAACCTTGGACGGCCAATTGCTCCACGCTAACACGTCTGTCAGATACTTGGGAGTGCCCTCGTGACATGAAATGAGATCACTAGAAAATACAGAGAAATTGTATCTTGCGGGACTTCGGATGCTCTAGGCATCACGACGCAGTTTCTCCACATCGTCCGAAGAAACTGTCCCTCGCCTGTTCACCTCGCTCATTAGACCAATCCTTGAATAGGGCGTCCCAGCTAACTATCCGATAACCCGGTAGGAAACGGAAAAGCTGGAGAATATACAGCGTATCGCAACTAGAATGATACCGAGTCTAGGAAAGTTTCCGTATGAAACACGTTGTAAAAGTCTCGGACTCTACACACTATCCTATCGCCGAGTAAGAATTGATCTTATTATGACCCATCGAGTACTACACTTGAATCACTTCCCCATACTGCGGCCAATATTTCACCTGCGAGAACCCTGTAACACACGAGGACATCGTTACAAACTCAGGGTCACTTGCACGAACAAGGTATCACATCCGCATTGTTTAGAATGAAGAGTCGTGAACTTATGGAATACACTACCAGAAAGAGTAGTGGAGGCCGATTCTGTGAAGTTTTTAAAGCAAGTATGGACGAGTATTTAGGAAACTTGTGCTTTTGTGAAACGGTGCAAATACAATGGAAAATATGCATCCTATACCGGGAAATAATGAGACCAATACGAATTCCTAACCGAATAAGGATAAACGGTTAAATGACCATATACTGCCGCTGATGATTCGCAATTAAATTTGTTTGATTTTTCTTAATTTGTTAGTTGTACGGAAACCTTTCTACTTGCTAGTGAATGCAGTCTCAGTCTCAGAAACTCCAGCTGAGCAAAGTGCTTCTCAAATTGAGCTTCAATAAACAACCCGTTAATTTGTCTAGGAGGCACTTTGTATTTTGGCCAGAACAATAATGCTTCCAGTTATAGTATGTATGGACCTAAGTATTGGCAAGTCGTCGCAATGAGACTGGACCTTAACGTGGTGCGACGGTTTGCGTGCCTGTT